GGTACATAGACAGAAGTCCAAAAGAATGATTAATATGTATCAACAAAAATATTCATAATACTATTCAATGTAAAAATGTAAAATTTAAAAATAACAATAATGGTAAAAATAAAGACCATATAATTCTTTCAAAGCCATGTAATGGATTCTAGTAATTTTATTTTAGTCCAAGAAAAAAAAAATCAATAAAAATTTCATCATTATAAAACTTGTTTAAATTCTATTGTTCAATTTATTCTAATTAGACACAAAAAATGAAATTTGAATCTGATTTGTTTTACAAATCGTTTGTTTATTTTTATATAAAATAAAAAAAGATGGAAAATACAATTTTATTTTATTTATTTTTATTCATTCTGTTATATTAATTATAAATTAGAAAAGAAAACCCATTTGGCAAGTAAAACATATGTTAAATGCTTAGAAGAATTTTAACAGGCTATAAAATTCTTTATAATATATAGCCTACTAAATCACAATGTCTGCTATCAATTTAATAGTGTATGTGAATGTCAAGATTGTAGTCACATGGTTTAGAATATTCAGACTAATTGTGCAAAAGAAACAGGAAAAGCTTGTGTGTGAAATTGGTACAAAAGATGCTGATTCTAAAGGTCCAAGGTCAAAATTTGATTGTAATTCATACCTACTCATTTAATAAAATTAAAAATTAAATTGTAATACAGTTTTTGATAAAGATTTCATACTTTTTATTTTATTTTTATAGAAATACGTTCAAAAAATATAAGTACCTTTTTGTTACAAATGACCAAACACAAAAATTACTATCATGAGTCAAACACCAAATCTTATTTTGAAAACCATCCAATTTGAATTAAAATTTTCTCATAGTGCCAATTTCAAACTTCATATGGTAGTGAAGGTGTTGTCGTCTTTGTAAATATAAAATTTGAAGTTACCATAAGTCAAGTTGCAGTTGAAGGTTAGAGTAGATTTAATAAAACTTATTGTTTTGTCTATGATCCTCTACTTTTTCTTACACAAGATTTTTATTTTTACGTTTATTTTGAGAAACTATAAAATTCTTATAACACTGTTCACATCTGGAAGATTGTATTTTTATTTATTGTTTTAAAGCTTTACAGTAAAAATTAAACACATTTTAGTTGGAATTTTAAAGCAATTTTTTTATATTTTGTAATAGTATTTTTTTTTTTATTAACTTTATTTTTTAAAACTCTATGTAGATTATTGAAGCTAGATTACTTGTTTAGATTTACTGAAAGTATGTGTTGACAAAGAAAGAGGAGTGTTGTGTGTAATATTTAAGTTAAGACTATATGATAGTAAATCAGATTTAGCAAACAATTTCTAAGAAAAAAAAAATGATTATGTTTTATTGCAATTATTTGAAATTTGAAATCCACAAGTTGAAAATTGTCAATACATGGATTATAAATATAAAACTATTCAACTTTACATACATTTTTGCATCAATTCCACCATCCATTTATATCCATATATTTGCACCATTTGATCCTAACCCATGAGCCAAAAAAGATTTGTGTCGACTTCAGTACATATTGGAAAGGCCTAAGAGCACACAAAACTTGGTTTTCTTACTTCTGTTAACTGATAGAATAACAATAATAGCAGTGGCCATTTCACCAGTCAAAACGCAAAATAAATTGGGAAAGTTGGAAATCAGGTGTCCACGTCCCCAGCCCTGCAGAAATGTAAACTCTTAATACAAAGCTCTCAATACTCTGGACAAAAAGCCAATTCTACAGGACAGCTAAGAAGAAGATTGAGAGCAAAACCAGTCCAAAAAATGTCACAATAATTCCATTTCTCACTCCCTCTCATGCACAATAATTCTATTATCACATGTGGATGTATGTATGTACATACATATATATATATATATATATATATATGTGTGTGTGTGTGTGTGTTTGTTTGTTTGTTTGTTTGTTTTTGTTTTTTTTGTTTTTTTTGTTTTTTTTTTTTGCCTTGTTGATTTCTGAATGGTTTTCGTTTATTCCATTAAGCACTTTTAACCCCCCAAACCAATGTCAGAACTAACACACACACACACACACACACTCTCTCTCTCTTGTTTGGGAGATGATCCCAAATGCATCACACCCAAGTGTGTAGAAAAAGCAGGAAATGTGGTGCACAAAACGAAACATGTGCTTCAGAAACTCTCGGCGGCACCATGACGACGGAGCCATGGGTAGCTTTCAAAGCACCCAATCCACCCAGAAGAAGGAAATGCTTGGTTGCATGGCTGCTGCATGGTTGCTAGCTAACACATCTGATAAAGTCAGACAAGCAAGCAAACAAGCAGGCAGGCAGGATGAATGAATGGCTGATTGGATGTTGCGGAAGCCACAACAAATGCAGTGCCAGCTGTGCAATTGCGAGGTTTCAGTATGCAATTGGTTATGAAAGAAAGGGAGGAGGCGGAGGAGGAGGACAAACGGAAGTTTAATCAACCGAATGTGGATCAGGAGAGGAGGAGGAGGAGGAGGAGGAAAACGGGAGTTTAATCAACTGAATGCGGATCAGGAGAGGAGGAGGCGGTGGAGGAGGGGTCAGGGTCTCTGTTGTTGTTGTTGTTGTTGTGCGTGGGACGGCAACGGGGACAGGCATGACAGCAGTGAAAACGACGGAAGCCTCGTGAGAGCGTAGCAACAAACAGCAGGTGAAAACAACCAACCTAAGATAGGGAAAACTTCGAAAAATAGAGAGAAAAAAAAAAAAAAAAAAAAAAAAAAAACTGTTGAGAAGAAAATTGCAATCCCTTCCATGACCTGACAAGCGAGTTCGATTACCGAGAAAACATGAGGACCTGGGTCGGGTATTGGATTCCGGGAGTGTTCGAGGAGTCAGGAAACTGGATCGATCGACATTATCAGTATTTTCTGGCGCCGGAGAGTGGAAAATTGTGGAGCTAAAGGGGGTCAGCGATGGCCGGCCACATGCAGTGAGTGGCCCCTCCTCATGATGGATGGATGCATTGTTCGATCGATGGATCTCCTTCTGTTGCGCTACAGAAAACTCACTCAAGCAGTGGGTTTCCGTAGAATGGTTTTTCGTTGATTGTTGTCTAGTGCTCGGCGACCTCTCATGTGGGGGTGGTATTAGGCACGGTAGTTAGGTGTGAGGTGACTATACGCTACACCATCCTGAAGCTTCTGGATCCGTATTCAATCCCCCTACTCCACTTGGATAGAATGGGTGTTGTTGGATGCAGGCCTGCCGCTGCAGGGGTGGCAGGTGTGGCAGGTGTAGCAGCAGGCCCGGCAGTTGTTGAGCTTTCATGTGGACATGACAGGTCTGACACTGACGACGGTAGTGCTGCCACCTGATGCCAGAAGCATTATTGAGCTATGTCTGATTTGTCAGAAAGAAAGAAAGAAAAAAGGTTTTGTTAGGGGACTGTTGCAGGATCATACTCTTCCGCTCATTCTCTTTCTCTATCTCACTTCCTGTGGTACCTGCTGATCATACTCTTGCGCAGAAATACACGTACTGATCACACGCCAAGGATTGAAATACGAATGCACTACCCCTCTCATGCATGATTCTAATGGTTTCCTGTTCATTCTTGAGAACCGACTTCTTCTATATAGGTGAGAAATAGCTGAGTTGTAAATGCTGGCGGTTGCTGGAATGTGGGGGTATACTGTTGCAGACAGATTGCGAGCTATGATCTGCACTGCTGCTTTGAATGAGCAGATTGGCTTAGTAATGGACATAATCCAGGGAAATAAAGGAAGAAAAAGATAGATAGTAGAGATAAAAAAAAGAAGAAGAGAGCGACGAATTGTACCCCACTTTGCATTACATTGTACTAAGTTTAAACAGTAAAACATTCAATTGGTCATCACCTGATGACTCTCAATCATTTCATCTGCTTTGCCCACCTTTAGAATCGGTGACACATTTAGTTTGGAATGTCTGAAGTTCGCCACCCGTGAGTGACAAATCCCCCCTTCTAGTCGAACTTCAGAATTGATGCCGAATCCACCAGCTTCCACTTGAATAATCCAGGCTCTTTTAACGTGTTCCTCATCAGTTTCTATTCAGCGCGATCTCAATATATATATTTTTTTTTCCCACTTGGATGTTTTCCTGGCTACTCAGATCTTCGGAGCCCCACAAGCATAATGATCCTCTCCACCGGGCTACTCCAAATGATCCGAACCAAAATTAGCGTTACCGATTGCCCCTCCGCTCTGAAAATTCCATGCAGGGCCCGCCAGATTTAGTAGTGGATATATTAGATTAGGCGTGTTTGAGGGGAGCGACACAAAATCCCATCCTCCAATCTTCGTTTTTGTCTCACCACAAATAATCACCAAAAAGGTGGGCCCAGGTCTCTTTACCGTGAGGCATGAGTGAGGATGCTCTCTCTTACCGTGCACGTTTGATGTTTTTTTGAAACACAGGAGCATATTTTAAGTATATGCAAGAGTGAAAAGCAAAATCTATGTCCCATGTCACACGAAGCAACACCGTCCAAAGACTAGTGGAGGCTTAAATGGAGAAACTCAGAGCTTCTGTCAAACCAGCTGCCAGCTTCAGTAGCCATCAACATTTAAAACCCTAGTGGAATTTCCTCCACACAATTCAATGCCCCTCCTAACTGCTTAAAAATGTATTTTGCTGATCACGCTTGCACTCTGAAGAGATTGCGTTAACTAAGCGTTTAACGTTTTAGTTGAAGTCTTTCGAATTGAAATCCGAGGCGTTTCGTGTAATGTATTTCAGTGACCGGATTTATTGTTCAACTGGTGACATGAGTACCCAGTCATTTTGAGTATGTAAAACGTCTGTCCACACCCTAATGAAACACAATGTCAACAAGCTACGATTCTGATTCCTAGACGACAGTGGGAATCGGAACCCTCCTGCATATCTCATTTAGTGAAACTAGATTTTTGAAGAGAAAAAGCATACATTTCGGAGATTGCCCGCAGAAGTACATTGATTATTTTTACGCACCGGGCAGAAGGAAAGAAACAAATCGCTCTGCAATCGAGAGCTCGCTGGCGTGGTAGAAGGGTGTAAAAGCATGGCTAACTACAGCTCAGGTCTGTGAACTGTTCTGTAGGGGACCTGACGTGAGATTTATTGCTATCCTCCCCTCCGCGCGTCTCGCATCCTCCGTGACTGCTCCCTTGTCCACAGCGCCGGGCGATGGGCTTCACCTACGCAATCGATGGTGTACGAATCAGTTTGTTTCACTCATCACTTTCATCGCGTGGACGGTCAAACATCACTCCGTTAATGTAGTGCTGTCATTGCATCCGGACTTGCGTGATTGGAGGTCCGTTGCAGTATTTGTACCAGTCACCCGGAAGGCGATCAGTTGTTTTTCTTCTTGAATTGATGTGTGTGTGTGAACCTGCAGACGAATCGCTGGTTTTCTTCGGAGGTTTCCAGGGGGTAGTTTAAGCTTGTGTAACTTGAGAGCAATGGCGTCTAGGAGGATGTTGGTAGTGGCGTTGCTAGGGTTGTGCATAGTCTCGGCTGTAGCGGTTGCAGATGTGAAAGAAGTGAAGCCGAACAATTATCCCAATTTCGAGTTTCACGAGTCGCCGGTTGTGTCTACCGCTGACGAGAAGCCAAACAACTTCCAATCCTCGCAGCTTGATGCTCACAATGAAGAAGCCTCAACAAAGGAGTTCAAGCCCAATAACTACCCTGACTTCAAGTTCAAGGAGACGCCCGTGAACGAGGCATCTCCAGCTCACGTAGACAATGCGCACGACGCGTTTGCGAGGAATGACCACAACAGCTTGTACACGGTGCCGGATGCGACCTATTGGTCGTCTCGGTCAGACGACCAATCGTCCAGCCATGAGACGTACTATGGAGACTCGCAATTCGAGTTTAATGTCCGGCAGGGAACGCAGGAAGTTAGTAGCTTCGAAAACACTCCATCGACGAAGGCGGTCTTCAAGACTGTACTTCCTGAGTACAAAGGCTCTGATGTCAGCAACAGATACCCCTCTTCGTACGAGATGATCAACGGGCGCAACCAGGAAACCAATTCCGGGAGGTTCAACCCTTTTGCCTCGAATGAAGTGCGGTTCACTAACGTTCACAAGACGCAAGTGCCGGGGGAGGATCACGCCTCTGGCAGTGAGCATTCCGAGCGCTCCGGCTCCAGCCAGTTCTACTCTCCTTCAAGCGACCCCGACTTCGCGTTTAGGTTCGCCAAGCCCGAGTCCACGACGCCGTCGAGTTTCGGTGACAACAAGTTCCAAGCCGACAACCAAGCCGATGAGAATGTTTACTCGCAGTTTCAGTTCGACAATAGCGAGGCCACTAACGATCCCACTGCTACTTACGGCCGCACAACCCCCGTCCTTGCCGCAGGTAATGCGAAACAGCTAGTCGCTGGAGGAGGCCATGGCTGCAGCCACATGTAAGCCTCTCCACTCTCTAAATGCTCTTTTTACGTGTTTCTCTTGACAGCAATACTCTGAAACCTTCGCTTTTTCGGTTTGAGATTGCATGAAGAAGCTCATGAAACACCACATTTTTGTGGTTTTAGGTATTGGGCGGAGCACACCAAGCAATGGCCCTCGTTTTTTAACGTCAACACCCAAGTCGCCCAGGCATTCGGAACGAAAGCCGGTGAGGTGTATGGAACCACCACACTGTTTCAGGCTTTGTATGATAACCGTTCCGATGGGTACAGCCAGCTCCTGAGCCATGGAACCGCAGCTCTTCTCAACTCCTACATCATGCCGAACTATGGAGACCGCCACGACGCTGTGATTGATCAGTTTCTCGGTGCACTGGCTTCCCGGACTGCGGCTGGCGTTCAAGCGCAGAAATTCTTGAACAAAAACCATGCGTATGGACCCAACGAGTGCATGAACTAGGAGCTGCGGCTTCCTCCTCCTCTACCCCCATAATCTGATCCTCATCTTCTCCTATCATTTGCCTAAGTGCATGCAATGAATAGTACTAGGAATTGGTGACTTCGGAGATGGATCCCGTCGTGGCTCACACTTATTTAGTTACGACTCGACGTGTGTGTAACTGTGTCGGTTATTGCTACTGCACCAGTCGTTGGGCGGGTGTGATCTCCTCTAAAACTTCCTCAACATTGAGCTTTTGTTTGTACCAGGATGCAGGGTCTGTAGGCCGCACGGGTGATAATGCTTAGGCTCGTCCAGGTTTGAAAATTTTATGCATTCGTGCTCTAATAACAATCGAATCTCCTGCTTCGACGGCCTCATAATGTTCTGGACGTTGCACTTCGCTGCCCCGTGTTGTGATGGTATGTCTTCATTGTTGTCTTGCGAAGTCTCAAGTGAAGAAATTGAAGGGGTTGTGAAGGAGTGAATGAATCATTTGTCATTCCGAGTCATTTGTTGGCTATTTGATGTAACTTTCATACTCAGTGGATGTCCGAGTGAGAGTCAAATCGAAAGGATTTCACATACTACTTGCAGAAGTCACTTGTTTTCACAGGCTCATTGAGAATCTACGTTCTCTAAACCCATGATCCACAACTTCTCATACTTCCGAACTAATTTCGATTCGTACGCTCCATCAGTCTGATTCAAAATAGACGAAATGCTTTAAATGTAAAACATTTGTGCCATAATGCTTCTCAAATCTAACTGTTTGCATACCCCATGCTCCGTCTCTCTAGCTGTGTCTACTTTCATTATAACAGAACCTGCTGCCATAATGTGCACTGGACACAATCCCTCACCAGACAAGCTGCACAATTGCTGCAGTGCTGATCCTTGATCACTGTGGCCAATCCTCCAAACTAGACGACGCTGATCAAGCTGCTGTCATGCGTTGCAAACACCATTCACAGATTTGTTACGCGAACTGTGAAGGAAGGTCTCGCAGCTCTTGCCAAGGCATCACGCACTGTTTCATGCTCCTTCGTTTCTTAAATTCTTTTGTGTGAATGTTTTCACTTGCCTTCATTATCTTTTACTTAACTTTATGCATGAACAAATTAATTTTTATTGCAGCGAGAAGAGAACTTTGAAGTGCAATTCATGGTGGGATGAATTATTCTCAAGTCCATTCTTGATGAGTTAAATTAACATTCTTTAAGAAATATATTCCATTTTTCTTCTCTTTTTCTAAAAGTTGTATTCTCCAATGGGTTTATTTATAATATTCTGTTATTAAGGGATGTTAGAATAGAAGAATAGATAAATGGAAGTTTAGCAAAGAATAAAGATGCTAATTAGAGACTACTGGAGAATACAACTTTTAGTGGAATAGGAGGAAAAATTAATCAAAAAATTAATCTAAAAATTATGGATTCTATCTTTAAAAAAACATATAAATCATTTATAGTAAAAATCAGATAGATGAGTATATTTTGTAGTTATTAAAAAACTTATCTCTACTCTAATAGAATTTTAGCTTTTTTCAAAATAGATTTATGAATTTTGTATTGTTATGCTTTTTAGGACTTTCATCTATTAAATTAATCATTTTTGCTCTAGTTCCAAATATTATTTTATTTTGGCCTTCTAATCTTGTAGCAATGTTACTACTTTTGTTGTTCTAGAACCTATGTAATTTTATAATTTTCGTGGTGTTTCTTATTTGTATTTTTCTGCTATATTTAAGTTATATTTTTTTGTGGTAAATAGAATTATTGGCAATAATTTATACATAGTTGTATTTGTTAGCATCATATAATTTCTTTGATTAATCAAAAAAACTATAAAATTATAATATTACACAAAAATAAAGTATTTTATAAGATAGGATATTTCAAAAGAAGTAAGAACATGTAGTATTTATTTTATTTATAATTGTATTATGCATAAAATAGATTATTTTTAACAATAAAAGTACTATAGTTTCCTATGTTATTTGAGAAATTTAATACGAATTAAAGGCATCTTAAAAAAAATATAATAAAATTATAAATATCTTACAAGCGATGGTATAGTACCAAGAACAAGAATTCAAAGATTGTACACAAACAAGTAAGATGTATATTAGAGAGAGATGACTAAACAAAAGAAAAAGTAATTATACATATTCAAGAAGAAACTTGAATGACTAATATGAAAAATTAAAAAAACTAAAGACTTTTGAAATTAAACTAGAAAAGAGATAGGAGTGAATAAAAGTGAACAAGGCCTCACTTTTTTCTCTATGTACACTATTTAAATATAAGCTACATGGCAACTTTCTTTAAGACCTTTGACACACACCCAACTTAAAAAATATATGTCTAACTTGCAAGACAAGTTTTATGTAGGTGCACTATATAGCCAACTTGTATAATAAGTAGCCAACATGTGCAACATGTGGCCAATTTGCAGGCCAAATTTTCAATGTGTTAATCACATGTAGACACATATAAAGCCAAATTTGTATCTACAAAGCTTCTAAGAAGCTTGTACATAAGATATTATCATCATTTATTTACTTCTACTTACTTCTACTTAATTCATCTTATTTAGGTAATTTCTAGTGTTAGTTATATCTATGACATTACCTCTCTTTTTAAGCACTAGTTCCACAAGAAATAATGATCACATATTAAGAAAGTCTAAGATGTAATAAATTATATTTGTTATATATTTTGATGTTTATTTTCTTTAAAAAGTAGTTGATAGGTTCTTTCAACCATTGATAGTGTCTTATATTAGGACAAAAATACTAGTCTATTATTTGATCATTGTTAAAGTCTTTATAACTTTCTTCAAATTAAATATTTGGAACTTTATTAAATTAAGGGTACATCTCATTTATGTAGCAATAATATATGGTTGTCTTAAAATACAAAAATATGTAAACATATCTTATATACAAAAATTTTGTTTATAAATAATATCTCCTATCATTCCATTGATATTTTACACAAGCTTCATAGAAATCTTCTTTTGAATTATTTGTTGATAATATCATCTATCCATATTCAATAGTAATAGGCTAATTTTTTTATATATATAATTCTTTTAACATCAAATCAATTTCAACATCACAATCTATTAATAATACAATTTATTTCTCTAATTCTCATAATTTTATCAAAGCTTTTGTAGTGGCCCTTGCTTAATAAATTTATAAATAATGATTAAAGGCTTGAATTATATATATATATATTTATAAATCTAATTCTTAAAACATCTCCAAATATATTGCATTTCAACTTCTTCATATATATTATTTTCTATTCTTCATATTTATTATGCATTTGATGTCATTGTATTTCTTTTAGATTATCATTTCTTCTTTTTTGTATCAATATCAACTTCAAGAAATTTATGCTTTTTATTTCTTAAAATTTTATTTATTTTAAATTCAATCTTTCCATCTGAAATTCGTTCTTCTAGTATCTTCTTCAAATTTGTAACAATCTCAATATACATTTGTGATCTCAGAGCATAAGTTTTTTTTCTTTATGATTTTTTAGAATTTTTCTTTGCTTTAAAGAAACATACTCTATTGATTTTTCATGCATAGGAGTATATTTTGTTATTTTTTTTTTCTATTCTTCTTATTATTTACAATGGTATTTCATTATTTTCAAATTTTATTCATTTTTCTTCTATTGATGCATCTTAATGACTCCTTGCAATAAATTTATGAACATATAATCTATCTATTGAATCATCTCACTTAAAAATTTATAAAATATTATTGCTAAAAAATTCTAAATTATTTCTAGTAATTTTGATTTTTTAGCATTATGCATTGCAGTTGACATAAGAAACTAAAATCTCTTAAAAATTCAAGATTTATGATTAGATGTTTTCATAGATTTTCTTCCAATCAATATGTTGGTGTTTCATTTCGTCAGAATATATGCACTTTAAAATCATCTTTTAAAAATACCTCCATTCTTCTTTTATCAAAGTTTGTTTTCAATTTTTCTTCACTTTCTTTTTTTAAGTATACTATACCATCATTGAAAAAAAAATTATTCCTTTGCATAGCACTTTTGTGAAATCTTTACACTCCATTCTTCAATGATCTATTGTCAAGGACAAGAACTCAATGAAAAAATAATTCAGACAAGTGTGCCTTCACTCAAAGAAAGGTAACAAAATATAAATAAATAAGTATGTATATTGAAAGAGAAACTAGAATGGCTATTGCCAAAAGAAAAGAAAACTAGAGACCCTTGAAATTAGACTATAAGCAAGAAAAGAGTTGACAAGAGTGAAGAAGGCTTCATTCTTGTCTCTATATATACTATCTAACTAAGGGCTACGTGGAGATGTTCTATAAGACCTCCAATATGTGTTGACTTTGTAGGATACATGCCTTGACTTACAAGGCAAGTTTTTCTATATGTGGGCCACATAGTTAGCTTGGTCTTCAAGCTAACAACATGTGTGGCACATGGCCAACTTGTTGACCACGTTTCTAATCCAAAAAGTCAATTAAAGACACCTATGAAGTCAAAGTATCATCTATGAAGCTTCTAGGAAGCTTCCAGATCAAATACTATAGAATTAACTTACTTTTACCTACTTTTATTTATTTCTACATATTTGTATATGTAATTATGAGTATGTCCGTGATATTACCCCCCCTTCTAGAGGCGAGTTCCATGAAAAGCGGTCATCATACATTGAAGAAATCTATGATGAGACGAATTGTATTTGCTATATACTCTGATCTTTGTTCTCTTCGAAGATGATTGATAGGGCCTCTTAACCATCAGTAGTGTCCCATACCAGGGTGCGGAAGACCACCCAATTATTTGATCATTGTTGAGGCCTTCATAACTTCCTTCGAATAGAACATTTGGAACACCATCAGGAGTTGTTCTTACCTCTAACAAAATCAACAAACATCGGGAATCCCTTCCCATGTTGTGATACAAAACGAGTTGTATCTCGTCATCTATTCGAGGAAGAACATGTCGTTCTTGAAGATCTTCATCTCAATTGTGTCGTCTTAAAGGTTGTGACAATCGTAATGTCTCGTCCGACACGTCAGCAAATGAAGGCTCTTTAGTCAAATCCGTTGATTGTTGGTTTTCCATCTCCTGAACGTCACAGCTACAAAAAAGCTACGAACAAGGATTGAAAGTAGAATGTTATCTTGCCTAGATGTTGTTTCTTTTATAAAGAAGGTTTTTATCTTAATTTTGATAGATGTCATCGATGAAAAACCTCCATCGCCTTTGTTGCATTTACAAGATTCTTTACTTGCTCCCATGTGCATTCACTAATATCATATCCGTACCAATGGACAAGATATTCCAATTTATTTCGACGCCGCCTTAAATCTAAGACTTTT